TTGTGAAAATACAAATCAACTTATTTGTTGTCACCGTATAACTTAAGTGGTCTTTCAGTTCATTCTACATTGCGCAACCCTGTCACCGTATACTCTTAATGAAGTACAAGTTTATAAGGATCTTAAGTTTCTTTTTGTAGAGATTTTGAACTTGCTAGAGGTTATGAAGTTGCTTCATCATAAGCAACTATATGAGTTAGATCTAGAATGTTCATTGATTCTTCTTCTAAGATAGTCTCTTTTGCCCTGATCTCATTGTTTAGGTTTGTTTACTTTTAATGCATTCGACACAAACAACAAGGTTTGTGAAGTCAAATTTATGCTTAGTACTATACAATTTTGTATTTAAGGATTCGCTATAGAAAGTTACCTTGTTAAGATATATAAATTATCATTGGTCAAAAGTAAACTAGTTTCAACAAGGTTTGAATTTAAAGACAATCTAAATTCATTATTTCAAACAAACACAATTAATTTGAAAATCCAAATAAAAAAATAGTTATAAGAATCTAAAATATCCCCTAACTTCTATCTCCAACATAAATACATCTTTTAGAATCAATTATAAATACATCTTTTAGAATCAATTATCTTTTGGTAGCTTAGGTAACCCTTTATTTCCACGGCAAGCATGATATTTCGTACATTTCTTCTTTATGTGTCCAACTTTATTACAAAAGAAACATTTATGAGACTGTTTTTGTTTCTTTTGTAGTGGATCGACTAAGTAAATACTTTCAACCTTTTCTTGCTTTAGTCTCTCGTCTTCTTGTGCACAATATGAAATGAGCTCATTAAGAGACCATTTTTCCTTTTGATAGTAATATGAAACCTTAAACCGTCCAAACTTTGAAGGAAGAGAGATCAAAATTAAGTATACGAGGAAATTTTTTACCTTGATATTTCATGGAAATCAAACTTTGAAGAAGTACACTTGTTTCAACCTTATCATTTTTTGCAAAATGCTTTTCAATTTCAGCAAGAAATTTTTTTCGCATTTGTAATTTCTTCCGATATAGCACCTCTATAGACTTTTGGAATACCACGCTTAATGATCATCAAACTCATGTGATTTGAGCGGTCCCACTTCTCGTATTCTCCAATCTCATCAGAAATGCTTGACTTCGTAAGAGAAGGAGGTTTATCAATCCTTAACACGAGGTCGAGATCCATGCACCCAAGAAATATCTCCATGTTCTCTTTTCAATCCTTAAAATTTGTATTGTCGAGGACCAGAATGAAATTTATGTTGACAAACATTGAAGCAATTGTACCTGTATTTAGTATAAGAAAAACAAGGGAATTAATCTCATATTGTAAAAATAATAATTATAAATATATTCAAACAATAGTCTATTCCATCTCAAGACACCTAATGTCCCATCAATATCAAATATTTGGAAAACAATATTAACTATTAGGAGTATCTTGGTATAAAGATTAAATACTAATAGTAAAACATATCCAATAACAAATTTATATTTAGATTGATTTATCATTGAAAAGAATTACTATTATACAATTCGACCAAATATTAATCTTCTTTTCGACCAATAATACTCACATAAATGTATATAAACACAAACATTTATAATTTTTTTTATGAATCATTAGAATAAAAAAATTCACTTTAATAATTTATTAATTCAAATAATTTATTAAAAATTATAAACAAAATCAAAATTGAATATTTATAGTTTATTTCAAATTTCAAATTAATTATTAATTATGTTTTGTTTTAAAAATTTATTATTTTATAATTTTTTATCCTAATCAACACTTCTGGGATGCAGACCAACATTACAACAATGCTCCCCCAACCACAAATGGCCACCACGATGTAACGCGTATCTAGCACAGCCACGACCACAGCAGCAACGCTGCCACCATACCCAAAAACCATTACTGCCGCACACCCGTTGGCCAACACCTGGCTTGGAGTGGGCAAGCCAACATTGAGCAGCCAACAGCCCAACCAAGTGCAGCCAGAGCAATGTTCCATCACCCTAAATGCCCTCACTCGAGTGACAAGCTAGCGTTACCAAGCTTCTCGTCGTCCACCACCGCAAGCCCTGGGTGTGCCACCGTCGCTGGAGAGAGACACCACTTTTGCGACACGAAAAGCCGCAGGCTTGTCGCGAATACCGTATGGAGCTGCTGCAGAACGAAAAACAGATCCTCCACGCCGTGAGCCAGGACTGAACCAGATCGCGTGACAGAGGCCACCCATTGCAACGAGAAATCATCGCGTCTCCCGCGGCCACCGCTGCGCTTGCGAGAACTCCATCGCAGACGACGCTTGCGAACCACCTGCAGAAAAACCAGTCCACACGGCGAGGCCAGTCCTCCACCGTGACGGAGAACGCGAAGGGAGAAGAAGCTGTCGCGCTTCCACCACGGCACTAGAACTAAAAAGAAGAAGCTCGAAAAACAGTGGTGGCAGGATTAGGGTTCTGAAGAAGATGAGGCAGAAAGGGGATTTCAAATTTTTAGGGTATCTGGGTTGGCGATAAAAAAACAGAATTGGGAAAATTTTCCCAAATTTTAGGGTTTCTGAAAAAAAAAAATTCCAAATTTATGGGTCTGATTTTTGTTGTAGTGGGAGATCACGGTTGATACCGAATGGACTTCAGATCAAGGTTGGCACAGATGAACACATAAAGATGAATTGAATTTCAAAATTAGGGGGTTTTACCAAAAGTAATTAAAAACAAAATCCTAAATCCGAGAATTTGCATAAAATTAGAGAAAGCCATTAGGCTGATTCCTATTAAACTTAAACTAACATGTTATTATACCAATTGACAGATTATAAATACAAAACACATCATAATTAATAAACAAGATCTTTTTGTACAGAGCAATTTCTTTATAACACAAATGAAAACGAAAACATACCTGGAGTGATCATGAAAAAACAAAATAAATCAACTGGTATATGATCTTTTCAGTATAGATGTTCCTTCTTGATTTCCTATGAGAAAGAAGAATAATTGTATCTGTTTACAAATAGGGCATATAATCCCTTATGTAACCTGTTTCAGTTTTTTTTTAGTTTTGATATTTTAATTTGATTATTCAATAAATGAAAATATTTTTTATAATTTTTACTGAATAAATTTTATGATATATGTCTTTTAATTATGATTTAATTAATTATATTATTTTAATAAATTAATTAATAAAATACAATCTCTTAATATATTTAATAATTGATTTTATATATATATATATATATAGAGAGAGAGAGAGAGACATATATAATAATCTAAGTTTGATAGTAAACAATTTACTTTCAAGATACTTAATTTTAGAATTTATTTTAATTATGAATAGCAAATTATAGTAAAATAAAGATAAAAGAAAATGCAGTTTTATTATATCAATACGTACGTGAGAATATCATTATATCAATATGTCAAAAGTTGTGAGAATATCACTGTGTCAATACTAAGTGTTCAGTTGTGTTAGTCTAGAAAGCATTCGAATCCTTCGGTCTTGTTTCTCGGGTGAATGTTATTGTTTAGTTTTGGTTTCAGATGGGATCTATTTCTATTGTTTCGGCTTGATTGTATTGATGAATAATTATGTGGTATATGGACGAAATAGTATGAGAATGAAAGAGTATTCTAGGGAGGAATACCTCATGATTGGTTATTGAATGGTAGAGTATGAATGTGGTTATGATTAGCTGTCATTTATCCTGATATTTTGTGATTATTCATTCTCAAGTAGAGAGGAGTAAGTCATGTGTGAGAATGACAAGAGGTCCTAGTCCATAAGGTGAACGAACTTGAACGGAACGGACTAACCTCAGGTGGCAGCTATTGAGGGCATCCCAGCTATTACATCACCCGGGTACAAAAACGTCGTAACTACACAGAATTCATACAGTCCGGACAGTCAGAGTAAAGTGGTCGATCATTGTATACATTGATGTATAGGTATGGTTGAAAATGCATGTTTGGATATTGCATCATTGAATATTGAATTATGTTAAATGTTTGTGAAATATATGTTTTACTGAATTAATTAAATTACATAAGCTTACCCTTATTTTTCTGTCTTGTCTGTATTGCCCGTTCGGTCGTCTTTTCCTGTTGCAATGATCACCCTGTAGATGTGAGCAGAAGGAGAATAGTTCTTGGAAGAGGCTTTGGAAGAAGTGGTAGTGAAAGCTGAACCATAGGACCGTTTGATCGTTAGGATTGGTCTTATTTTGTATAACCAATCGGTGTAAGTTTAGTCTTGAAACCGTTCGGTCTAGATTATTGTTTTGGAAAGTTTAAATTCTCAAGTATTTTCGTAAGATAATTCGACCATAACTGTACCTTCTCTTCTCAAAATTGTAATATTATTAATTGTTAATATTCTAGATATGGTTTTATGCTGTATTTTTTGGATGTTACACTATCACTTGCAAAATTGTGTTAAAACTAATGGAAATTTAAGTCTATGCTATAACTAATATCTTAAAATTAAGATCTAAATATTATAAGGAGCTTCTATTCAATGAACTAAAATCTAAATCTTTTAAGAAGCTTCTATTAAGTTATGTTGATGTGGTATGCTAAAATTTGCAAAAAGAAACACTTAAAAATACTATGAGATTTGGAACTCGTCTAAAATAAGGGGAAAAAATCATACTTTTTCATAAAATCCTTGTATTAAATATCATTAAAGGGAAACAAATAAATAAAAGGGAAATGCTAGGACAGGAGACACGTAATAATGATGTAGCCCAGAAAATAATTATTACTTTTACTGAGTTTGGTGACAATTTGTCGAGTTCTTAGTACCAACCTTTTCAGACAAATCCCATATAACAAAAACAGCTTAATAAATTCTAGTAAATTCCAAGAATGCCCATGCATTCATTTCACTTTTGAAGCATCATCCCATCATCATCATATTCAAAATTATCAGACAAAAAATACAAGGAGGCTACGAAGTACATGCCATATTATTGATTAGAATGAAATAGTAGTGAGATTACTATGTGATAATGATAGTATGACATTGCATTTGTCGCATTGTCACTCTACAAAGTATCATTAGATAACAGCGACCAAAAGCAAATTATAAGTGTGCATAAGCATTTCTGTTTTTCTCCTTCCATGACCCACCGTTAAGTAACAGAAGAGAATCTTCATCCATGCTGCAAAATCTGCAACTAGAATAGATTCCCCAACCCAGATAAATAATTTCTTAAACTGTTGTGCTAATGTTTGTGCAGCACGATTTAGAAAGTGGCACAGACTATTAAACTGCACGCATCCTGACCCTTAAAATATTAAAGAAAACTACAAATAATGGAACAAACACTACGAGGGGAAATGCTTGGATCCAACTGCACCAGCAGCAGTTTATTGTTAAACTTCAGAGGATCCATCAGTATCATAAATCATCATGTTTCAACAGTATACTAACACCTTATACCATGAGATGGCTTATGACATTTACCTAAAGCACCGAACTCATTTTTGTTACAGTTTTCCTTCTGCTCTGACATTCCTGTGTGATAATCTGCCTATTACACAATCTGTAAAACGAGCCCAAATACAACAATAATTCCAAATATTCAAAATTGGAAACGAGTTAAACATCAACACCTTTAAGCCTGGTTGCTGATGCCTTCACAGTTCAGACCCTGACAACAGTGAATTGTAATGAAATTATAAATTGGAGAAAATATAATCCAATGGACCACAACACAGAAAGGCTGCACGAGGAGGTGCGCATGACAAAGTAAAATCATGAAAAGAAGAGTTTCCACAATTAAAAAACGGTTTATATATTGATACTCTATCGCAACTGCTTAAAAGTAACCTTGCATGGATTGTGCTTTCACCGTGATGGATTCGTTCTGGACCAAAATATTCTGATGGAATGAGGGCATTGATGTTGAGTGAAAAGGCTTCAGAACAGAGGCACCAAACAGAGTTCATGAATTGTAGCACAAAAGAAAAGGACGTAAACTGAAAGGTAATTTCAGTAATTTTCTTTTTCCCTGAGCAAGAAATGCATCTTGCCATTTTGCGTGCAGTAGTTAAAGAAACTTACAGTGGAATAGAGGAAAGGATTGAATGTCAGCAATCAGCACCTCAGACTTTTTCGAAGTAAATTTCATTGCAAAAGCAACAATGCAGCAGAGCGATAGAACAGAACATAAGATTGTGCAGATGGTCTAGTCGAAAAAGCTTTGGTGAATGGAAAATAACAAAACAATTATCAATTTGTAAACAAGTGCCTTGTTGCTTAGAAAGTATGACCCCAGCACTGGTTCTAGTCAAGGTCAACTTTCAATTTCTTCTATAACACAAAAGAACAAGGTGATATGGAAGCTCCAAGTGCATGGCTCCAACATTGTTATAAGACAGATTTCTGTTAATAATTTAAATGATCATAATAAACAGGATTACCAATTCAATTCCCGAGGATCGTTATACAATATAACATGTACTGTACAGTATAGAATTGTGATGAAAGCCTTGTGGATCATTAATTCTAGCTGATCCATACAAGTTAACTCGACAAGACTTCGAAAACACCTATTCCTTATCACTAGTCCAACATTTCCCAGGTCTGAAGTTGAATAAGAAACTTCCAAAGACAACCAAATGTTGGTGACACATAATTTGTAGATGCGCTGTCACAATTCGGTGCACAGGTGCCAGAAACTAATCTTTTGTGTGAAGTTCTATTGATTATTGGTCAAAAAGGTACACCTTAAACTAATAACTAGGAGCCTATAAGGAAAGAAACAAAAAGAAAATCACGATTAGATTCAGATAACAGAATGAAGTTCCTGGACCCTGGATCGAATCTTATCCAATGTACCATCAATGGCCAAATCAAATGCATCCTTCTTAGCTTTGAGACCGGGAGAACTATCATGCTTCCTGTACAAGACATTTGGTATCAACGCCAAAACCCTTTGCCGCAAGCTCCTAACCTTAGACCTAGGTATCCGTTGCAAGACGTTCAAAATCCTCAACCCCTTGAACACAACCTCCTCCTTCGGAATAAACACAGAGAAATCCTCAAACTCGTTCTCGGGCAGATGCCACCCATACTGCGACTTGGCCGAAAGATCCTCAAAGAAAACCGGTATACACCCCGCCAGTATCGAGTCGAACGTGGACCGGCGGGTGGGGGTGTCCCCGGGAGGCTGCAAGCAGAAACTCGCCTGCAGCATGGGCCGCATAAACCGAACAGGGTCGTGCTCGCAAACCCCGTTGGAGCAGTCCACGATCTCGCACAACTTCTCGTAAGAGGGGTCCGAGGTGGCGTTCTCACACTCGCTGCGTATGCTCCGACGGATGTTGGGCGACGAGGATCCGCCTCCGCCTCCACCGCCGGCGAATAGCGCGAGGATGGAGCGCTTGGAGCGGCGGGCCCGTGTGATCCAGGAATCGAGGAGTCCGAGGTTGAGAGGGTGGAAGGAGGTGGGATAGGGAACGGCGTGTTCCTGCCAGGGCCACGCGCGGGCCTCCAGCGTGAGGGCGGTGAGGTTAAAAAATTGGGGCAACTCGAGGAAGGAGGTGCCCCAGAAGGGAGGATCGTTGGTGAGGGATTGAGAGAAGTCCCAGGCGGGGCGGGCCATGACGAGGAAGTGGTCGTGGGCCATGTGACGAGCCCAGATTTGGGGGTTGTCTTGTTGGAGGAAATGGAAGAGGTGGAGACCGTGTAGGGCGCTGAAGTTTGATTCTGAGCCGTAGAGGTAGCGTAGGGCATCGAGGCCCGCGTAGTAGGGGAGATAGATAGCCTTTGCGCGCAGGGGATCTTGCGTGAGGCAGGGGTACTCCAGCATCCGACGGTGGAAGACGAGTTCCAGCATGGAAGGGTCGGTTCGGTACCAACTCCGGGAGCGGTTATGGGTTTTCTGTCCCAGACCGTGGTTTCCTAGGTAGGGACACAGGTCGTCCAACATTGGATACTCCGAACAGTTTGCCAGCAGATCCAGGTTGAATCTTGAAGGTAGCTTCCTTATGTGTATCCATCGATTCTCGCATTCTTCCTCTTCCGATGATGCCGCCATTTTCCCCACCGACAACATCATTAACATCAACAACGGCCATCCGCTGCCTTTCAACATCCCCATTCCTTTCTTTCTATTCATCCAAAGTTGTCTCGTCGATTCCAATCCTAATCAAAACCACCCCTGTTCTTCCTTCACATTCCTATCACTCTTCTAATATCTGTTTCACTAAAAACAAGCACACACTACAAAAAGTCAAATCAATCTAAAGCCTAATGTAAGTAAGTTAAATACTTCAGTTAATAACCCCACTTCTAGAATTTTAAATCTCAAATCTTACTTATTTTATTTAATATCAATTAATGTTTTAAGTTCCTGCTTTAATGACAACAATTAAAGCTTTTCTTTATACATAACTATATTTTTACAATATTTTAATAACAAAATTATTTCACAATCAATAATAATCTTAAACACCGATATAAACCAATAAAAACTAAGAAAATTTTATTTTCATACATGTAATATGCAAAATATTTAATACATCATTTTGTTCAGATTTGATTTAAAGTAATACTATTTTTTAAAATGTAGAATTATTTTGAAACAAACCCCTACAAATATTAAACCTATACAAAATTTTAATAAATTTTTAATTTCTTTCAGTCATCTAAACCATCTTACTTTTTAATCCAAAGATAATAATTACGACGATTATATATTTTGTGTATTCTCAATTATTAAAAGTAATTCTTCAATTTAATTATTATATATTTACACAAATAACATAATTTTGATTTTAGTTTAAAATTCAATTATTACATAACCGAATTTTAACTTTCGTGTTTTTGTAAATAGTAGTTAAAATATCAATCAGAATTTTTTATTTTCGAAAAATTGAATTATTTGAACTAAGCTTTTTTTTTTTAATTTTATTAAAACAAAAGGAGAGGAAAAATAAGAAGTTATAAGTTTTTATAACGAAAACATATTTATTGATATATTTGATTTTTTTAAGTTATTTTTGTAATTTTGTATAATTTTCAATTTATTTACATTAGAGTTTTAAATTTTTTTAACTTCATTTTCTTTATATATTTGTAATTGGTTGAATCGAATAATCAAATTTTATATTTAATTTTATAATTACAGTATTTTTAATTAAAAAAACAATTATAAAATGTAAAAAAATTAAAATAACTTATATTGTTAAAATATACCAACTAATATATATATATATATATATATATATATATATATATATATATTAAACATATTATTTGAAAAAAATTATATTATAAATAATTTAAAAAATTATTAAACAATTAATAAAAGTAAAATTATTAAACATTTTTTATTTTATTTTTATCACCTATTTTTTAATAAATGATTTTTTTAAAGTATAGTTTAACAAAATTCAAACATACAAATAAATATTTTCTCATTATAAAAATATATAACTTTTTTAGTTTTTTTTTTCTCCTTTTATTTTAATAAAATTTAAATTAAAAATAAAAGTAAAAAATCAGTTCAGATTCCCCAAAACTGAATTCATCGATTTAATCACTATTCACAAAAATGAAAATCAGAATGCAACTTTCCATGATCAAATTCTAACCTAAAATTAAACTATAATTTCTTATAAACTATATAGTGATGATAAAATGGGTTAGAGGGACAACTTTGGCTCGCCACGAAGCATGTTAGGTTTGAGAAAAATTAAATTTTTTATACAGTCAATTTTTAATCCGTTTATTTAAAATTTGGTTCATCCAAATACGTGGTAATCATGATTGACTCATCGATCTTTCACGATAGCAACACATTATAGATTTATCCACTTATAATTGACAAAAAAATATCAATATTATATAAATTTATTTGTAAGTTTTTCGTGTTTATTTTTGATTACATTTGAATTATATTATATGATAATTTTTTTATTATTATTTTGAAGGATTAAATATGTTTTTAGTCCCTGAACTATCAAGTCATTTTGGATTTCGTCCATCTTTGAAATGTTTGTTCATTTTCATCCTCTTAGTTTGGAAACTTGTATTTTTAGTCCTTAAAAAGCCAACGGTGTTAAGTTTTCTATGAGGTGGCAACGGCGAGCCACGTGTGATGCCACCTTCCCTAACTATGTGACGTGGTAGTAACGATCTGGTGGTCAGTCGGGCACTCGGTCTGTTGGTCGGTCGGCCACTCATTATTTAAGCTTTTGAAGAATCCTTTTTGTATCGTACGGTCTCCTGGAACTAGCCGAGTGGCCGACCACCAGGGCGACCACCCACTAGGCCAATCGATCACTAGACCGAGTGGCAAACCACCCACTAGGCCGACCGACCACCAGACCGATTGACTGACCACCCACTAGGTTGACCGACCACCACACCTTTACTGCCATGTCAATTAAAAGTAATGAGGGAAGGTGGCATCACACGTGGCTCACCGTTTGCCACCTTACAGAAAATTTAACGACATTGATTTTTAAGGACTAAAAATACGAGTTTCCAAACTAAGAGGATGAAAATAAACAAACTTTTCGAAAAGGGACGAAACCTAAAATCGCTTCATAGTTCATGACTAAAAACATATTTAACCATATTTTGAATTGTGTTTGGAGTTTAATATCATTTTAGAATGAAATTTATTTAGATTTTAGATACCAAAACTTTGTAATTTTTTTTAATTTGAACAAAAATTTGTAATTAAATAAGTTGGGTGAAGTAACCTGTTTAACTCACCAACATAGGTCAAATAATTTTTTTAACTTATTAATAAATAAGTCGGGTTCTTGTTAAATGATATAATAGGTATAATCATGTTGAATTATCCATTTTTCTCACCGGTGCCTCCCCCGGAATATTTAAATCATCAATAAAGCCACTAGAAAATTGAATCAACCAATTATCACAGCTGCAACCTTTTCTATTGAATGTAACACAGCAAGGGTATCCTTAACACAAGGCCATTTTTAAATGCCTCAAGTAGCATTGCATTAAAGTTACTGTTTGACCTATATATAATATAAATAAATAAATATTTACATTAATTAAGTCTATTTACTTCTCTTCATTCCATAAAATAATATTTTTATAGCTATCTGTACTCATGTTTACCAGAAACACTATTCAAGTTGAGGCATAAAAGTACTTTTGAATAATAATATTAAATAGTTTTTTGTTCTTATATTTAAATAAAAAAAAGTTCAATTTATGGGAAGATCTGAATCCTTCGTTATGAGGCAGTGTAATTTAAGTAAGGAACAAATCCAATCAAATCGAGGAAACCGGGGAAAAAGGTAATTAAAAAAAAGCAAACCCTTCCCCACTTCCCTACTAATTTTACTTAATGCACTTATCTTTTATTAAACACTTTAATAATGAATATTAATTAATCTTTTTTTCAAACTCAGTCAAAGCCAGTCAACAATTCCAGCTCAAAAATACAAGAGAAAATGGACGTAACTTAATATCACGCAATTTAATAATAATGGTAATAACTACAATTAATTAATTAATTAATAAATAAATAACTAGTTGCGCATCGATATATTTTCGGATGAGAAACGCTTTTCAATCAGCCGTTGTATTCTTCCACAATTTATTTCTTTCTTTCAGACCAAGAAAAAGTAGAAACCAAACGCGGCCTTCAAGTTCCAAATACCAACAACTAAGTAAACAACTTCTCTTTCCTGTCTCTTTCTCTCTTTCTCTCTCTGCTTCTGAGTTCCGAGTTGCAGAGAGAGCAATGAGTCAGGAATCGTTTATATACAGCTTCGTGGCTCGGGGGACGGTGGTGTTAGCTGAGTACACCGAGTTCACCGGGAACTTCCCTGCAATTGCAGCTCAGTGTCTCCAGAAACTACCCTCTTCCAATAACAAGTTCACCTACAATTGTGACCACCACACCTTCAATTTTCTCGTCGAAGATGGTTACGGTACTGCTTCTCTCCTTCGATCTCTTGCTTTTTCTCTTTGCTGCATCTTCCTCTCAACCTGGACCTTCTACCACTTTAATTCACACTTTAGCTGCTGGATCTACTTTGTCGCATCAAACTGGCACACATATATCTCTTTTTTTTGTGGGCTATCCTTACTTTTTGGGGTTCGTGTGCAAGTTTTGTTATTTTTTCATTTCAAACAAATGAATGGTGAAAAATGGAATTTCGGTTCTCCTGGTCCATTTATGGTGGTTTTTTTTATGAGAATTAGAATCAAGCTTTATTCTGGGACAAATAGAAACAAGGCTATGAGGGATGAAGGAACAGTTGTCACCTCTGAATGTCGGTGTCTTTCTCTCCTGTTAGTTTAACCAAACATGCGACCCCTTCATATGTATGTTCCACTTCTCTTGGTTTCTGAACGAAACTGTCTATTTCCAAATCAATGGTTTATTGAATTGTGCTGGACACGTTGACTAGTGATACGGCCATTATAGTGTACATAATGGAACATGAGAGGCAACTCTCACTTCATGAGTTAGCTTCCAAATTCTAAGTGGTGAGTGAGGATAAAATATTAAGATGTTCACTTTATCACTCATTTTGAGACTCTTTATCTGTTCTTTGAAAAAATTTAGTAACTCTCAATCGACTTTGAGTATAGGCCGACTTACATAAATTTGTGCGTTCTTCTTTTGCTTTGTGCAATTTTCTGTTTATTCTCATCTTTGCTGTAACTCAGAGTTACAGAAAGATTGAGTTGCAGTTGTGTGGATTTTATCTTCTTATAGTGTGTTTGGTTCAGTTTGGATGACACCTGAATCAATTATCTCTGACATAATCACGGTGATACCATGAAAAGTTAGAAGCAACTATTGTTACTTTATCTTCACCATGAAAAATTAGTTGATTTTTCTCACTGTGAAGCCAGTACGAGCACACTATTAATGTTTTCCATTTTGGGATCAATGTGAATTGCAGCTTACTGTGTTGTTGCCAAGGAATCTGTGAGCAAACAAATCTCTATTGCTTTCCTAGAACGTGTCAAAGCGGACTTTAGGAAAAGATATCGGGGTGGAAAGGCTGACACAGCTGTTGCCAAAAGTTTCAACAAGGATTTTGGGTATGCTTATTTCTTTCCAAGTAATTCATGATGATGTTTACTCATAATTCAATGCTTGAATAGAAAAAAAAATTGTATAAAAATGGTAAATAATACGTATGTACATTTGCAGACCAGTAATGAAAGAGCACATGAAGTATATAATAGACCATGCTGAAGAGATTGAAAAGCTAATAAAAGTGA